TAACTAGTTTTCACTTTATTTGAAGGAAAGTTTTATTTTAATAAATTATATGCTGTCTTCACATTTATCTACTGAATATATTTTATTTCTTAAAAACTAATTGGAATTTGTATGTATATTCGCGAAGCATTTGGTTTATTTAAAACCTTCTCTAAGTCGGCGTCGTATCTCACACTTATGGCGTTTTTATGCCTGTACTGTCCCCTTCGCTTGCCATGCAACGAAGAGAAAAATTTCATCATTGAAATTGTCGCCACTTGCATGTCTCTTTAAATTCCGTAATTATTTTTGTATTTCTGAATATTGATAAGAGATGGCGCAACCCGTCCTACTTTCTTCACAATTTTCAAGGTGATATTTCCTATCTTGAATTGAAACCATTTTGTACTTTTTTTGTAATTCCGCTTTCATTAGTGTTATTTTTGCATGTTAAAATAGCTTTTATGATGGATTCAGAGAGTGAGTCGGAGGACAGTGAATTTAATGTCTGCCAGTCGGAAAATGATAATTCTAATTTATAAGAGATAATATTTACTCAGAGTCTAGTGAATCAGAAGATGATGGTATGAGCTCAGTGAGGATGTGGGTAGGAGAAAAAAACAGTCTTAACGCTTTCTCGTTTACAGGAATATTGGTAAATTTGAATAATGATAATTTGATTCAGTATTTTGAATATTTTTCCGACTATTCTATGTTGCAGCTGATTGTAAATGAAACTAATATGTGTACTGAACAATGCCTTCATTTCTAGAAGTCTAAAAATCATTCGTAGCAGCGTGAATCATTCCAAGCAGCGGAAATGGAGTTCAACTTACAAAGAAGAAATCAGAATTTTACTATGGATTTGGATTATGCAGGGCATAATAATAATAATAATAATAATAAACAGTCGAACAGTGGTATAGGTCAAATGATGAAAAATTATAAACCCCTTTCTTCAAGAAATTCATGCCATACAGCCAATATCACAATTAGAAACGATATCTACTCTTTCCTACAATGGACATTATGACCTGATACATACCCTAATTCAACACTGAATAAAATTTAGTCAGTTTATTAAAAAATAAACGAGTTAAGCGAAATTACAGTTACCTTAGAACATGATGCATTTATTGATCAGAGGTTTCTTTTATATCAAGATAGACTTGCTTGGAAACAGCACTTACATTTGAAAAGGGTCATATTCGGTATAAAAATATTTATGTTATGCAAGGAGAAAAGAGAATACATTTAATCGACAATAATTTTTACAGGAAAAGGAACACCTTTCTTTGATGAAAAGTTTTGAAGACAGAATTTTCAAAATCTACGCAAGTGGTTCTGACATTAATTCATTACATAAGGGATACTGCGTAACATCAGATTAATTCCAGTTTTAACAGATACGCTTGCCGAGTACAAAACTGATTCTATCAATCTCAACAGCAGAGAAGTTCCTAATTATGTGAAAATTAGAGAACTCAAGAAAGGTGACACCATAGCATTTCGACGTGGGAAAGCTCTCATTATGAAATGGAAAGATAAAAAAGATGTGTAACTTATTTCAACTATCCATAATTTGGAGATGTTTGCAGAGAAATCGTCTACAGGAGAAAAGGTGAAGCCGAAGATGGTAGTCAATTATAACGACAGCATGGGTGGCTTTGATACCGACCAAAATATGGCATCTTATGCTATTCTAAGAAAATATAGGAAAAAATATTACAAAAATGTATTTTTTCATCTATTCGATGAATGCATTTAGAATTTTTATGTCCTATAAAAATTGAAAACGGTTGTTCTATAACGCAGCTTCAGTTTCAGCTAATTTTGGTAAATCAAGTGGTTATTAAGTACCATTTGGAATCAATGTGCAGCAAAAGAGGTAGGCCGTCTCAACTGACTGAGAGACATTTCGTAAAATTTAATCTACCAACTGAAAAAAAGAAAAGACAGCAAGAAAATGTGCCGTCTTGTTGCAGCAAACGAGACAGTAAAAGTAAATGGATAAGGAAAGAAACAAGGTACTATTGTGAGAAGTGTGATGTGGGACTTTGTGCTGTTCCATGATTTGAAATTTTTCATTTGTAGCGTGGTATCTGTTAGAATATCACTTAAAACACTATTCAAGATATTTTTGATATTTATAGTCAATTTTTTTCCAAAGTATGCAAAAAATAAATTTGTAATAAAAGAGACTGCAAAGCTATTTTAACGGTAACTTGGTAACGGTGAGGCTGAAAAACCATTTTCCATAAAAACACTTTTTGCGTAATTTTAATAATTATTTTCATGTGGATGTTTATTAAAAACCTCAAAGCAATAGAGTTAATAAATGTAGTATCGGATTGCATTCTTTTAAATTTAAAACTTGGGTGCATTTCAGGGAAGACTGGTGATCAGTGAACAGGGTATCACGTATTTGATCACCCATAGATCCAACAAAAACCTTTTGTATTTTCGAATTTACGATAGAACATATATTAACTTTCAGCAGCAACAACAAAAAAATTTGTTTTGGTCAAAAATTCGAAGTAAAATGCGAACAAGAAGAGGTTAATCATGTTAAATACAAGTTATTTCCAAGTTTTTGTTTTATTGACATTTCCTCTTTTAAATTTTCAAATTTTTTCCTAATAAATCTAAAAATATGAATGAATTATTCAAATAATTAGGTTATTTACTCATGTATTACCTATTTTTTATTTTATTTATTTATTTTTATTAATTTTATCGTCTGAAAATCGAAAGGAGAAATTTATGCGAACAATTCAGTTTTCGAAGGACACGGTTACAGTAAACACGTAACAAATAAAAAGTAGTCATGGATAAATTACCGGTAATTAGGACACTATTATTTCTTCAAAAGAAACTTGCATTCCCTTAAGAATGCATAGTAATATTAACATTACATTCCCAATATCAGTAAAGTATCTTCATTTCTATTTCCCTGTAACACGCTCTTATTGTTTCCTGTTGCTACATCTTAGTCCTCAAATCATTTATTGCTGCTGTCTGTGTCGTCTGCTACAGCTTATAGGTCGTCGCTATGGTCACCAATGTCATCGCCTTCATCAACGTTCAGTCTATTTTCTCATGTGCAGTGATGTTCAATGATGTTCAGAACCATGAAGAGCATTATATATTCCTGATTTTTTGAAACTCTTCACTATTATTGCTTCATCAATCAGAAACCATGTACTCAAAATACACGAATCAATAAATATAAAATCAATAAATAAGATGAAATTTTTTGTGGACAAATTCATATTAAAATTTAGGGGAGCTAGTTCTGTGAATGCAAAAGTGGAAAATTACTTGAATACTTAAAAAAATGTTAAGAGGAAATTCCCCGTGCAAATATGATAAGTCTTCGAAAAATTTTAAATCTTCGCGATATACTAAACTAATTTTAGTATAAAATAACCAGATTTTGTCATGTGATACATATTATTATTTTAACTCCACTCGTGTGCAAAATTAGGAGAATTTGCAAATTATGTCTATTTTTACGAAAAGTATTGAACTAGGTACTAACTATGCCGCCTAAGAATTATGCAAATATTCAAGTCGAACACGTAAACCTACACGTGCGTGTCTGCGGAGCTGTGATTGTGGAGGGGATAGAAGCGTACGAGGGGTTTGGAAGGTTTGTGTGTTCGTACTTCTTCACGAATATTCGCCGTGTTTCTCGCAAAAGTTGGTAAATTTTATAAGATGTCAGGTAAAATCAATAGCCAAGGACGGACTGAGATGGAGAAATTGGGGTAGATTGGAAACAAGCCCATCACAGGCGCAGGTAGCCATAGAGCTCAATATAACGTCCAGTGTCGTCTGAAATTTGTGGTAACAGTTTCAGGGCACTAGATCCATGTCGAGAACACGTGGACAAGGTCAGCAAGTTCTACAATGACGAATGAGGATCGTTATTTGGCCCTTGCAGTTTGGCGACACAGAACTGCTACAGTTTCACAGTTCTCACGTGAGCTGTGTGTTCCACTGCAGACAGTAAAATCCTAGTTCCACTGTCTATAATTGCCCGAAGGCTTCATGAGATAGGGCTGTAATCAGAAGACCCGCTTTCTGCGTCCAACTCACTTCAGGGCATAAGAGAGCGCATGGTGCGGATAACATGTAGCTTATATAATATACTTCAGTGGAGCATCGCGCTTTTTACAGATGAGCCAAGATTCAGCCTGAACACAGATTCTCGGCGTACCTTTAGCTAGAAAGAGCATGGAATACGATACCATTCCTCATTCATCAGGGTAAAGGGCCATTACGGTGGTGAAGGTGTAACAATTTTGACAAGCATTTTGTTGAAGGCCGTACGCCCCTTTACGTGTTTGACAAAGACTTTCTGACTACTATAAGCTACAGAGAGGAGATCTTATAGCCTTATGCTCGACTTTTCGGGGTGCAGTTGATCCTGGTTTCTTGTTAAAGGAACGTCAACGCTCGCACACATAGGGCTCAGTTCGCCGATGATTACCTGGAAAGTAAGAATATTCGCCGCATTTAGTGGCCAGCCAGATCTCCTAACCTTAATCCTATAGATGGGATGCTTTTGGTGGGACAATTGTATCTCGCTATTCTCTTCCGAGAACCATACTAGCGTTTAAAACTGCCTTGCTGCAGGGGTAGGATCGACTCCTCAGGGACTGCTCGATTGCCTCCTGTCCAGTATACCATCATGTTGCGCGACATGTCTGGTTGTGAGAAGAGACCATACCCTATATTAGATTCATTTACAATTCGATATCACAACGTGGATTTTAGACATGCTTGTCGTATGAGCTTTACTGATAATCATCTGGTTTTAAAATAACATTTTTTAACGGTACCTCTCTTTCTATGTTAGAAATGAGTATTCATGCCAAATTTCATTAAAATCTGACCACTAGTTTTCAGAAATTAGATATAGTGTGCCAATTCTCTTAAGTCTGCACACGAGTGTGGAATAAAAAATACTTGTCAATTGTCTTCTCCTTTCTAAACACTTAATTTAATCATTACAGCTATCATTTTAATGTTGAATTTACGGATAAAGAAGATGGTAACTGCACATGTAATTTTACTTACAAGCTGGTTCCAGGTCCATGCAAAGCACAGTATTATGGTATGATTATATTTACGTCCTGTACCTTGTAATTTAGATTTTAATCAAACCTTATTGATTTTTTTTTTAATTCTGATTTTTCTAGGCCTTAAGCTTGCTGAATTTTCCACTATGCCAAAATCTATAATTCATGAGGCGAAACAATTAACTGCTGCCTGGGCGAAAGCAGAAAATAATGTAAGTAAAAAATATGCTTTCAGACGCAGCTATTTGTAATTTTCTTAGTCAAATAACATTTCATTTCATACATTTTCTTTAGAGTAACCAAGAACAGCAACATTTCGGTATATCTGGTGAGAACAAAGAAAAAATAAAGTTAGCAATACATTTGCTTCAACTTTCCGATAGTTCTCTGAATGAAGAAGATTTAAGATCTCATCTTAAAGAATTGAAAAGGATGTTCATAAGTCCATCTTCCTCAGCTGATAGTCCAAGCATTGATTTCACCCAGTTCTCTTAAAAAAGATTGGGTAATATTTTCCCGGACAATTTTGTCTGCAGTTCTGAATTTCTGTAACTAAGCAAAAAGGGCGTTCATTGTGCACTTTACTCAAGTAAAAACACTAGTAAAATGTAAAAATAAATTTCACTTAAAAGTATTAATTATTGTAATAGTTTTTCAAAGTTTTACTTTAGTCATGTCAATTTTAATTAAATTTCTATTATCTATGCAATTAAACCTTACAAAAATATATACTCTTAAGAGTATTACTTTTTACTAAATGGAAAAGAAAAGCTATTTCGATTAAATATGTGAGGAGTATTTGAGATACGAAATTAGGAACAAATTTACAGCTGTAAAATGTAATGAAACTAATATTTTCCTCAAATTTAAGCAATAAAATTAAAATTATTACATTGATAGTCCAATCAAATATGCGTAAATATTTGATTATGGCAAAGCATCAAGGGCTATCTGCCTAAAGGAAGAGATGCCTTCGTGAAGGACTTTCTAAGGAAAACTGGCTCGTATACATGTCGCATATGGGAAAAAACATTAAAACGCCCTCGCAACTAGCCCATTCTCGAAATTCGAACCGAAGCATCAGTGTTGAGCGACTTCACCGCTCAGCCGTTGGTGGTCTATTCCTTGTAAGAGATTTTAATCACCTTATGCTATCATCAAGTTTAAGGTAAATCATTCTTATTTTAACATATTAATTGCCAAAAGATGCATTTTAAAATGTATTACGTCTTTTATATATGAGGAAAAAGGAAAACGTATTCTCGAGAATTGCTGGAAATCTATTGTTAGGGCGCACCGATTCGTAACGCATTGATAAATCCCCCCCCAAAAAAAGCACTTTATAGTTCTGGAACTTTTCACAAAAGTACTCGTACAGCTCTTCTCAGCATGGCAGAACACAATCAAAAGTTATCACATCAGACTACTCAGAACATTAAACACAAGGCTATATAAAACGCCTCAAATACCCAAGCTCGTAGAGGATCTCTCAATACTCTGAGCTAAACTTTGAACTAAACTAATGCGCTCTCCAGTCTTACATAGATCCCCAGTTTGCAATGAAACTTATAGTTTCTTCGATTTCTGGGAATTGCTGAAAAGCATACACAGTTATAGCTATATAGAGATAGGATCAGTTACAGTTACATAGGTGTAGAACCAAAATGGTAGCCAAGTTTGCGTTTTTACCCCAAATTTAGGGCAAAAATTAGCCAGCTTGGCTCTATCTTGCCAATTTGGCGAGACAGCCATTTATTTGAAAGTTAAATAGACTTACTCTGCAACCCCCTTTTTACGGCGATGCTTTAAGGCCTTTCATGTTAACATTATATGTAAATTGTAGCATCTTTGGTATATTTTCACTAAAATTATTTACATATATATTAAAATTCATAATACTCGCCCTTCCCAATGACTGCACGTCCCAAGCAGTTACAATCCATGGGCAAGAAGCCACACTTACAGCTAAGGAAAATCAGTGCAAGACTAAAATAATAATAACATACAACAAATAAAATACTATAACAGTCAATAAATAAATGCGTGCATTTGAAAACTTGTATACACATAAGACAGTATTCTTAGATTACAGTTAACATTGTACACACTATGGGGCTGCTGGAATGAACAAATTTAGGCTTTGAATTTGATGACTTACAAATCCGAACTACGATGCCGTTGTTTAAGACTACGTAAGGACCTTCCCAAAGTGACTGTAGTTTATGAGAACGTCCTTTAGGTCGGATCGGATTCCTTAACTGCACCTTGTGACTTTCTTTGAATTGATGTCCTGTAGCTCTCGTATCGTATCGGGTCCTCATATTCTTTGTCGCCAAGCTGAGTGGTAATGAAGGCGCATCCGGAGAGCTACCAAACAACACATAACAAGGCAGACAAAGAATACCACCGAAGAGCGTCTGTGAAAAGGGGAATAGCTGGTAGTCTCCTGGACAGCACTAAGAACTATGATAGGCCACTAAGAACTATGATAATTTCTGGATACAAACCTGTTGGTTTCTAGAAACCATCAACGACAAATTATTAAGGATGATTCGATTAAACCACTCTACCATGCCGTCTGACTGCGGATGTAAAGGTGTCGTTTGGGTATTATCAATGACGAGTTCTTTATAGAGTTCTTTAATTACAGCCGAGATAAAGCTCCTTTCTTAATCAGAACGTAACTGAAGAGACAATCAACATAGAAAGCCAATGCTGTGTCAGTACCTCTGCTACCTTGACAGCCTCTTGATAAGAGATACGATATGTTTCAGGCCACTTCGTAAAGTAATCGGTGACAATGAGGCTGTATTTGTTGGTGTCGCCTGTTCGTGGTAGAGGTCGTCAAAGCAACTTGGTTTGTGAAATCCTTAGTGGTGGAGTATATGAGGTAGGTGTTATTATCGGAATGCCTTCCTAATGGTGCCCCAGAGTATCGGTGCCGTACCTTAATGTAAGTCGGCCATTGTTTGAAAAGATAGAAATCTTTATAGCGTTGAAATAACATTAGACAGCGTGCACGAACTGAAAATAAGATTCAACAGCACTTTTATCCCAAACTGGCATTTTATGAATGTGCACCTGCCCTCATGCAACTCCGATTTTCGTTTCAATTGTTGATAATTTGATCAAGCAAGGAAGGAAATAAATGTTAGCCATCTTTATGAAACACCCTAAAATGTTACAAAGCTGCCCTCATCTTTATGGAGAAAGGGGACTTGGCATAAATTTGCCAGCGCCTTTATGAAAATCGTCGGATTGAAATAAATGTACCGAAGTGTTCATCAATTAGAAAAGTTTTCTGATTGTGTTTCTTGGAAACGCATTTGGTTATTTCAATAAATAAAATTTTATTTTCACCGAAATGACAAACTGCTGTGCACACAAGGGATGAAAGGTGAAAAAGTGCCTATATACGTTTTTGGAGGGCAAAGCGTTTTAGCCCAAAGGAGCCCAAAATGCTATTAGTCTCAAAACATTTTGCATTGATTCACTGTAAAAGTCTGAATCCCTTTTCAAATTGTTGCCGCCAAATATTATAGCTCTTTATTATATTTAAAGAAATTAAATAATGAAGAATTTGCATGAATGCATACATGTTTTTCTCGTTGTGAAAAAACAACGTTCCTAGAGCCATGAAATTCTGAATAACGTAGTCTTTCACCCAAAATATTGACACCTGGGAGCCCGAATTTTGAATGTCGAATTTGTTTTATTATGTAAAATTTTAACGAATTTTTGATTATCAAACTCAACGATTTCGAAGCGTGCATTGGCAACACTGCAGGGAAAAAACATCTTTATCTCCAGCACGCCGAGACTGGCTATCGAAAATTCTAAAAAATAGGCTGTTTTTAAATATTTTTAGCCCAAAGCAAGGTTAGTACAAATGCTCTCGAAACGTATATGTGTAAGTAAATGAAAAGGTCCCTTTGGGCACAATAAAAAATCTGAAAGCTTTCATATTTTATCTGAAATGAATATAGATAATGAATTTAGAAAAAATATCTTACACTAAATCTGTCTCTAGGCAAACGCAGGGGGTTAAGATAATAGCATTTAAAGACGGGGAAAAGTTGCTACGAACAACAAGAAAATACAGCAATAAGAAATAAAACCAACTTGACTAGTAACTGGTTTAATAAGAAAGCATTACAGCAACTTCAGAATCAGTGATAAAAGGCGACTGGGAAAGAAATGAATTCAGAAGAAGGGGAAGAATGAAAAGTTGCTCTAGCTCTCTGATCAGCGAAATTCGTACAAAATTGCGTAAATGTAAACTTTTCATGTAATAGTATCACCTGATAAATCAGTAGTAGGCTACAGCATAAGCAACTTCGATGACAATGCTATGTCTCACATTAGAAATATTTTAAAACATAGGCAATAACAAGTTACACGTGGAAGAGCAAATCGAACAATTTTGGCTACGATTAAAACGAGTATGGAAAATCCGAATCAGAGAGACTGGGACAAAAAGATTAAGGAATGCGAAAGAAATATAAACAATATGATAAATAAGACTACAAATAAACTCCTTTCGAAATGTTTCACGGTTATTCACCAAAATTTAACGACGGATTGATGAGGATGATTACAGATGAAGACGCATATGAATGGGAGAATCCAGTAATCTTACAGAATGAAGCTAGAAAGAGAATTGAAGATATGCAGATGAAAATGAAAGCAAATTATGACAAGAAGAAAAGCAATTCTTTAACATTCGAACGAGGAGAAATAGTAGTTATGAGAGAGTACCTAAATCAACTGGAGAATCAACCAAAACAACAACAAAGTATCGAGGACCTTTGGTAGTTACAGAAGTTTTACCAAGTGATACCTATAGAGTGACTCAATTAGAAGAAGAAGGTGAAAGGACATTTTTTTAGTACGACAGCTCATGTCAGCCAATTAAAGTCATGGTAGTGTCAAGGCTGAATCAGAAGAAGACGATGATGATGATGATGGTGATGACATTAGTGTTACTGGGGATAATGATAACAACACGCCGCATATTACTAATACTAGGACACGGAAAAAGAATAGAAAACGACGGTGAATCTATATGACAGCTAAAGACTTTCGAACTATAAACATTAATATTACAGATTAGTCTCAAGCGTAATTGAATAGCGCTCAAAGGCAAAGAGAAGATAAACGGTTGTATTCTTTAAAAACGATGCTTTTACGGAAAGAAGACATGATGCATTTACGGAAATTTAATCATCAATAATACCTTCTCCATCATTTTCCACTTATATTGCCATTTCCTTTGTACATCTTCTTTACACATGCACAATAAAATTGAATAAAATTTTCATATAGTTTATCTGTTTAATGTTGTATGATGTTTGGTTTATGAACCTGTGCACAGACCACTGTTGTAAAAAATAAAAGTTAAAATAAGCAATCGTCTGTGGTCCAATAACGAATTAACCCATTTTTAATTGCTATGGGAAAAATTGTTTTGATTTAAAAACATTTCGGTTGACGAAGAGCCTTTAAGAAGAAAAACGATTTGCGCATATAACCCATGTGGCATGCTTGAAACCGCATATATATAACGGCTATTCACACTGGGATCTATCTGAGCTGGCGGAGACAGATGTCGCAGGAAACAGAGATCCAG